GAGACTCAGTGTGTCATGGGGTTTGGCCTGAAACCAAAAAAAAAAAGGAAATGAACGTCTCATCTGAGAAGACAGAAGACTGAACATGTAAATATAAATAATATATATATGATTATATAATTAGCACTAACGTCATGTCAGTTGACTCACCCAGTAATTGAACATGACAGGAACCGTAGACAGGGCTTGAACTGTCACACCTGAAGGTCAGAGAGAGGATCATTATTGATATTCCTGATGCATCTGATAGGTCACCGACAGTGTGTGTTTTTATTATTTGAGGGTGGAGGGGGTGGGGCTGGGTATTTACCGTGTTGGTCCATCTCACGTATGCGAGCATTTGCGTCCCAGCAGTTTTCCTGAATCACCCTGAAAACCTGTCCGTCTTTCATCATCGTTGCTTCACCCTGCAAACCAACATTACATTTCCATGAGGGGAGGGTGAGTGGCAGCTGTCAGAAAGAAAACTCTAAATATTTTTTATATATATTTTTATTTTATTTTTGATACTGGTGTCTTAGCCCCAACTTTGTTTTATGTGATTTCCTTTTTTTATTTAAAATGATCACATTTCAGAACCTTATTTATCAGATTGAGGCCATTTTTGTATTTTGTAGTGTTTCCTAATCTAACCACACGATGGCAGCAGACTGCAGAACCATCGTAGCTGGTCGCTTTAAATACATGTACATTTTAGTGTTTGTACCGTAACTATTATAATATCATGTACACGAGTATGTGTATGAGGTGCAGTGACAGTAAATGTAGTGTAATCCAATCAGTACTTACTGTACTGAGCAGTACAGCATGGGCGGTGTGTGTGTGTGTGTACTCAATGACACACACACACACACACACTGACTCACCTGGCAGTGATGATGAAGCTGAACAAACCCATCATAGCCATATCTCTGAAACACATCCAACATTTTAGGTTCATTATTTTTAAAAACATTATTAACTTTCTCTTTTTTTCGGCTTCAATCGCAGCACGTGGCCTCGTTTGTGCTCGTCTTACTGATTCAGTCAAGGTTTTCAAACCTGGAAAATGAATTTTAAAATCCAGGCTAAAATCTAGTTAAAAACCAAACTACTGCTGACAAAGACAACTCCCAGAATTCTTTGTGGAATTCTGTTGTTCCCATTTGTCTTTAAACTTTTTGACCTTTGGATATCCAGGTCATTAAACCTGGATTTCCATTCAAAACAGCCTGCACATTAACGCCACACAACGGGAATGTCTTCACCTTGAACTCTTGACCCCAGCACCTGTCTGTGGTCGTCATGTAGCAGGACTTCAAAGTGTGACGTCACACAGATCAGAGCAGAAACACAAACCCCCAAAAAAAAGGCTGAAAATGAAAGTTTGACTCGTCCAAGCAGCAGTCGTCGCACTCCAGTTCAACAACACGTGTAGACAATCCTTAGTTAATCATTAGTTAAGGCCACTGAGCCAAAGATGGAACAGCCTGATCCCAGACAGCCAGGACATTTGCACTTATTGATTAAAGTTTAACCAGTCACTGAGACAGTCACTTTTATGTGCAGTGTTTAAAAACAACTTCATCGAATTACCAGAAGAAAGTGTCCTGTTTATTTCAGTATAACATTGGAAGAAAAAGCAGAATGAAAAATGCAAGCAAATATTAATACAACAAGAAACAGAGAGGGGAAAAAAACAACCCAAACACCCTCCCAAAGAGAGGGCTGGTACTACAGGGTCTACCTGCTTCAGATCCGGCCAGTCCTTTGGTAGAATGTGACTGTGGATGTCGACTTTCATCCTGACAGCTTTCAGGGAAAACTCCAACGATCAGCTGCCTGAGACGAGCGCGTTCTCGGCAGATCAGTCAGTCGTTCTCTGTGGCCATGGGGCGTCCTAGTCACTCATTACCTACAACTGGTCTGACTGGCTTATTACAGCGCCGTCTGCCAAGTCAAAGGTAAATGT